ACATTGAACATGTCAAGGATATACCTTAATATAACAAGATATAGTCAACCAGATAAAACCGCCTCCGTGGTCGAGGGGTTAGAGTCGATGACTTCTAATTCAGGTACCTCTCTGGCGTGGGTTCGATCCCCGGGAGATGCTTTGGTAGTTTAGCGCGGAGGAAGGTAGTCTAGTACTGGTGTAACTCTTCAGGAACGATGGTTAGGAAAATATCCGCCTATATGACTGAAATACTGTTGGAAAAAGGCGTAAAATTAGACAAACAAACAAACAAACAACCAGATAAGAAATCACAAGGGACCATATTTAATTCATCGTATGAAACATTGCAACCAGAAATGTTATCAATAAAATGTATATGAATATGGTTTCAAATTTGAAGGATTAAAAACTAAAAATTGATGAAGTGTTCCTGTTACTGTAGTTATGGAACCGAACTATTTAAACATTTAAAAAAAACGGTTTTATTTAAATTGGAATATACAATAAAACGTATGTTTGTCAATTTATAAATCTTTAAAAAATCCACTGGTACATCAAAATAATATGAATAAATAATAACTTACCCACTATGCTCATCGGATCAGCTAGTGTTGTAACATATAGGTCAGAAATCGCCAAATTAACGATAAAAATTGACTCGGCTTTCCTTTGCCTACTTTTCGATGCTATAACTACCAGCGTTAAAATATTCCCAAACGTGCCCACAATGCTGGCAATCACCAATATGACCAAACAAGGAATGGCAAGCCACGGTTTTGTTTTGATAAACTGATGCCGATCGAAAAATAAGTCATTATTGACGGTTCCTGTTGAAAATGTTGTAATATTGTTGTAATATTCAGTGACTGAAATGGTCGTTAAATTATCCATTCTCATTCTTAAATCAATTCTTTAATCGACAAGATTAAAGAATTAATAATGTACTTAATTTCCTAATCTATTCTACATGTATTTGACAGAGTTGTTTAAATGATATTTGATATAAAAATTTATAAACTTCCGTTTGATTCCTTGCCGGAAAGTTAATCATAAACAATGTCATTCAAATAGGAATAAGGCAAAAAATATTTATTTATTGCGTATTAAAAATTTTTCTTTTTACAATAATGTTCCGGTTTGCGAAACGGATGAGGGCGTGTTCAATAAGCAAGCGCCAATCGTAAAGAGAGATGTATTTTCGTTTTCGGCTCTTTGAATACATTACAAAAATTATGAAAAAAAAAAAAAAAAAACCCCCCCCCCCCCAAAAAAAAAAAAAAATAATAAATAAATAAAAAAAAAAATATGAATAGAAAATAAAAAAAGAGAAATTATAATTAAAGAAAGTTCCTCCATTATTAGTATCTTAATTGTCACAGTATAACATTATCATGCAGAACAAAAAAAAAAAAAAAAAAAAAAAAAAAAAAATCAAAATATGGATTTCTTTAAAACAGCAAGTTTGTATGACTTCTGCATTATATCTTTTTAATATCACATAGCTTACAAAGCAATTGTATATGTTTTAAAACAGAGCTTAGCTAATTACCGAACCAATATATCTCTAATGTTTTATTGTATTATTATTTTATTATATGGATCCCATGTCTGTAATGTAAAAAGAAATGAACATGAACTATGCTTTTGTTTTCTTGTGTTTTTAGGTACCATAGATTGTACCTCTGTGCCACTTCCGGAAAGCATGGATCCCAAACAATGTAAGGAAATAGTACTATTTCAATGCAACGAGCACATAAATATACCTTTTACTGCATTAGTAACGCAGTACAATTATAGTGATTCATTAATCGCACATACCATGTATATTTAATATATTAATTTTTCTTAAGATCTTAATACATTTTTCTAAAGATTGAATTTCTTGAAATATTTTAGCTCATCTGGTGTCATGCAGCTTTATAGCAATATACATTTAGTCATTTTACTCATTGAATAAGTTCCTGGTATGCTTAAACAAGGAAGCATAGTATATAAAATTGCTGTTTTGAAATAAATTTAATTTAGTTGACTTGTTATGACAAACGGTGCTCCTAATGAACGACCCGGCCATTTATGTACATGTAATTTAATGATTAACGATAATTATCAATATTCGGTTCACATTAAATATTATAGGAGTTTCCAAGCCGTATTCACGTTGCACTATACGTACAGAGTGACGATTTGAGTCGTGCATTATGATAATCTTAACCCGTGCAATCAGTTATTAAAAAAAAATCCTTAAAAAATACTTGTTCATGGCAAGGTACTATCCAAAACACGAACACGGACGGGTGCGCATACACGCACATACGCACTAGAAAGAATATGACTGGACTTTTTAGTTAATTATTTGTTATTTGACATATCGCATTATCAACCTTTAATCAATTAATATTAAAGGTTTTAATAGTCCGTATAGTTCTCTTAAATGTGTTCCTTTTTGATTTCACTTTCTAAAGAAAGTCTGCACGGAACAATACTGCTTTAGAAAGATACAGCTGATTTATAATTTTAATTTGACTGTTATTAATTTATAACAAAATGTTTTTGTGGTTATTCTCTTAAAATTTGAATTGTAGCCATATAGAAATATGATATATTATTTCTAAAGATAATAGATATTACATATCATTTGTGTTACTAATTACTCATAAGTGTTATGGATCAACAAGATGGTGATTATAACGCTGGAAAAATATCAGAGAAGAACAGAAAAGCTTTGTCACGCGTATAACGTATGTCGTGCTAGCGATTGTGCTGCTTTGTTTGAAAATTTATCATTGAAAATAATGGTTTCAAATCGAATAATACTTAAATATATGGGCTTTGGGCTCTCGTGCTTTTGGCTTTGATATCATTGAAAATAATTGTTTCGAATCGAATACTTGAATATATGGGTTTTTGGCTCTCGCGCTTTTGGCTTTGATGAATATATTAGGACACTAAGTACTGTGTTGGAACAGTATCTCTAGACGCTATACATCTAGAAATCATGATCACAAAGTTGAAAAATATTGCTCTTTTCGGCGATTCTTACATTTTTGCGTTTATAATCGTATATAAATCGGTGTAAAGAGACGAATTACAACTGCAATTCAGCGAGTGAAAAGGCGAGTGAAAAGGCGACATTAGCATTTTATAATTAAAGGGCATTTCTGGTATTTACCGGAATATGATATTAAGTGTGGTGCTCCAACACTTGTTTTAGTCTTACTCATTCTAGAAGATATGTTGACACTCCTCAAATGAGATGACTAAGTAAAAAAAAAATTTCTAACTTTTTTTTTTTTTAAAAATGACCATTGAAATTCAGTCTAAGAGTATATTATCATCTTAAGATAGAACTTAAAAAATATACTTACATGTGCATGTATGTGTGGATATTTTCGTATTTTACCTCAATAGCAGATACTCGGACAGCTTCATGTTGCAAATAAATGATTTGAGCTGTCAAAGAACTCCACTGAGGTCCAATAGCCTAAAATAATAAAATTTGAAATTAATTCTTAAATTAACTGGTACACTTAATTCTGATACCAACCATAAATGATTCAGTCAAACTTGAATTAAGCGACCGCGTAAGGGATACACCCAAAACGGTCGCTTAATGAGACAAAGCATGATAAAAAGCCCAAATATATACATGACATCTTTATTTTGTGGTGGGAATATTTTTCAACTTCATTTACATAAATTTTTATTAGTACGCTCCGATAATCTAAATGGATGCTAATGTAAAACTTTCTGATATTTATTGACAAATCAGTTTTGATCCATTACGTACATGTTTGACATTTTTCTAGAATTTTAAAACTTCTCCGTTGTATTTCCTTGTCTCCAACACGAAAACCCTGATAAGTGAAGCTTATCAGTATCTCAGTAGGGGCGGAGCGTTGCAATGTTTATTCGATATTATTGGATAATACACGTCACGCGTATACTAAACTTCATTTGCCTACGCTAAAACGGTTTGGGAAATAGTTTTTCACACTTTTATTTGTTGTGGTTTGATTGTTGACACTTGTGACATTACGAGGCGGCGTTCTCTAAAAACACAATTACTTGACAGGTAAAAGTGGGCGTTTAATGAAAAGAATTGATTTCAATCAAGTAACTAATTAGCGGTCGCTGGTCCCGTTGAGCAAAAATCTCTTAATACATTAAAGATATAGAGAGAAAATGATCGGGGGGAATTTAAAGTGGTCATTTAAGACAAAAGTCGCTTAATACACGTGGTCGCATGGGCAAGTTAGACTGTATATACACATACACGGTGTTGAATTTGTATTCAATTTTTATGCGATTTTGGCCGATTTGAGGGAAAAGAGTTGCAACAGTTTTCATTTTTAGGCCAATTTGGTCAAGAAATTGATTATTTCATAGAAACGGAGTGAGCGAATTATCTGAAATTTTGTACTTCAGTTATTGGTCAAGACATACATTTAGTTATACAAAAATCTTGAAAAAAATAATTTCGGTCCCTTCACGTCAAAAAAAACTTAGTGGAGTCCCTTTAATAACATTTTTGTCATATGTACACTAGTTACAAATTATTAGCGTAATATATAGCGAAATAAAGCATTGAGCAAAACAATATTTGTCATAAAAATGAAGTTATCTCAATGTGTATAAGTTGTTTATTACCCTTTGCTAACATTCATTTCTTTCTTGAATTCCTGTTGGTGAAATTTAACTCCGCGTGACAATGCATTTTGTAACGTCTGTATTTTATCTGAAGACTCAACTTTCATCAAAAGACTCTTTCATCGTTTGAACTAAGTACATCTTTTTGTTCATCTTACATTTTGCATGAGATAACGAAAAAAAACCCAACGAATTCGTGAAATATAAATGCCACACTGCTTTGAAACTTGTTATTGACGGGTATGTTAAGACCATGCAGGATGTTGTCTTTCTTTCGTTTAATTGCTGCTTTGCAGATCATTTCATTTGCAGGAAATCACTTTTCAAAATCTTCTAAATTACAAAGTTTTTCGGATATCGTAGGATTCGATATGGAAAAATATAAGGAGCAAGTATTTGAGACTTGCCCATTTACAGACTTCTGCACTAAACCTGCACAACGAAACTACACTTTCCATTCAAAGCTGTACGGACCATGTTGTCCGCAGTGTTCCTGCAGCCCGAACTGCTTCGTACGTCAAAATTGCTGCATCGATGCATTGATATCGACAGAAACATATAAATTAGACATAGTCGACTATATCACATGTAATTCCACTGATATTAAACCAGGTAAAAAAGAAGCTCTTAGTTATAGAATGGTGACATTCTGCCCAAATGATAACGGCGAGAAACTCTCGTGTGAATCAACTATTGACGGAACAACACGACCTGAGGATATTGTCATAGTTTCAAGTAAAGACGGTCTTGCGATTTTCTGGAATGAAGATTGCGCTAGATGCCATGGCATTACTGATATTATTAGGCAATTAGTATTCTTTATTATTTGGAATATATTTTTTTTTAAAAAAAGCTTTTGTCCTTGAATATTTTGATACTTTAATGCATACTTGTGATCAAACTTGCATTTATAAATGTGATCAAAAAATCGATTGATCGACCATCAAATTGGTCACACTCCTGTGTTCAGCAAAATGGTAGATACTATTTTTACTGTTATAAATTTAGACACGTTTGTCATCATGTTCAAAACAGTCCTTGTAAATCTATAAGAGAGGGCTAGAGGACACTCATTCAAACGTTAACATATTTGTCGTGTGCAAGTACATGCATATAAATGAATATAAAGATAGCTGAAACCATTAGCTTATATTTGACAAAGACAAATGCTTACATGGATATACAGATATCTTTTTTAAACTTACTATTTGCTCCTTAGTGAAATTGTTTAGAAATATTTATTTAATATTATTATATAACTAATGTAATAATGTGTATGTCTTCGTTTATTTCAGATGGAAATTTTCTACAAGAGATTGTCCAGATGATCTGGTGTCATTAGGCTTAAAGGGAAAAGAAATGTTTTCCTACGCAATAGAAAATTGTACAATTTTCTCCGAAGCACCAGATGCTATTGATGTTTCAAAGATAAGATGTAGCCAAACAGTCTCATACATTGACCAGTGTGAATTAGTTGACGACATTGAACTATTACAGTTGTGTGACAACAATATGGGTTCGTTGTGTATTACTATAATGTTAATGATTGTGTTTTCATACTGGCCTTGTTATTGGGCTGAAGACTGTCATATTAGCTTGAGGTCAAAGGCTAATGTGACAGCCTTAAGGCAAATAACAAGGTCATTATGGAAAAGCTTAATTATGGACAATTTTATTAAAAAAAAACCCCTACCTTGCAGCTATTCGAAATGGTGACCTTTTTTTCAATGAAAAAAAAGACAAAAAAAAAAAAAAAAAAAAAAAAAAATGAAAAACAAAGCAGATTCATCATGGCCGAGCTGGGGAGCCAATCAAACTTCGCCAATCTCATTATACAAAGTTTTCCCATAAAGGCCTTACTTTTTGCACAATGGTCTTGTTTTATGCTCATAATATTGTGGTGAACTTCATATTAGCCTTACGTTTAAAGTGTAAACGTGCCTAATATTGAAAAGTTAATTAATAATAACTATTATGATAATAGTTGTGGAATCATTATTAATGGTGGTAGTGTAATATACCATCCTCGGTAACCCAGGCTATTTACTGTACACATGTATCGGTAAATATTTTATGTAGTATATACGGAATGTGTACCGTGGGTTCCGACGATGTTTATAAATGTAGTATATACGGAATATGTACCGTGGTTTTCGAGGATGTTTATTAAATGCAGTATATACGCAATGTGTACCGTGGGTTTCGACGATGTATATTAAATGTAGTACAAACGGAATGTGTACCCTAGGTTCCGACGATGTTTATTAAATGTAGTATATACGGAATGTGTATCGTGGGTTCAGACGATGTTTATTAAATGTAGTTTATACGGTATGTGTACCGTGGGTTCAGATGATATTTATTAAATGTAGTTTTTACGGAATGTGTACCGTGGGTTCCGACGATGTTTATTTAATGTAGTTTATACGGAATGTGTACCGTGGGTTCCGACGATGTTTATTAAATGTAGTTTATACGGAATGTGTACCGTGGGTTCAGACGATGTTTATTAAATGTAGTTTATACGGAATGTGTACCGTGGGTTCAGACGATGTTTATTTAATGTAGTATATACGGAATGTGTACCCTTGGTTCCGACGATGTTTATTAAATGTAGTATATACGGAATGTGTACCGTGGGTTCCGACGATATATTGTACATCAGTGTGCGTTTTAAAACGATTTTTAATTGTCAACTATATTTTCAATCATTATTTTACCGAAATAGACTTTATCTTGTCAAATATATTCATTTGTTATATATTATGAGAACAGTTAACACATCTTTTTGTTGAAAACCACGCGAAAGAACTACTTTCAATCGGTGTTTAGTTCGATATTTTACTGGTCGAGGCGTTCCGTTTGACTCAACACAGTTGCAGGAATTCCAAACGTTTTACGATACACTACACTAAGTATATTTTGCTCATTACATACATATTCTTTGAAAACGTCAAAACAAATGACTATTCTTTCTCAATAATAATATTGAATTTATTTCAGTGTCGAAATTCTATCAGACCAAAACACACACGCTTTTGTCAAAGAATGTGTTCTGCCATTTTTGCAACGTTCCAGAAAATTACACATATTTTGAAGAATGTTATTTGCCAGGTGACATGTTTACCGTAACCCCGCTCAGTTACATACTAAATCTCAATCTAAATGCATATTGGGATGTTGATGATGACGACCATTCAACAGACATTGATCCTAGCAAAAGATGTGATGAAAATGAAATAAGAGATCCAATTTTTGTAAGTATGAAATAATTATAGAACTCCTGCTGTTACCAACATCTGACAATTCTTGTCTTTTACACATTTCTAATATTATTAAGCTAATATCATAATATAACATAAAACTAGTAATAACGACGAATAATTACTTTTGCTAATAACATAAAATCATACATAATTGTTTTACTTATTATATGAAAATTGAATGATTATTTGAATATAATCTACATTGTATAGATTTAAAAAAAAAAACAAAAAAAAAAAAAAAACTTTTGCTAGTATCTAGTATTAGACATTGGAACAAACCACGGAAAAAAAGATATGGAAGTTGTTGTTGTATGAGAATTATGACCAAATATAACATATATTTGTATAGCAGATAAAAATGTTCTAGCACAAAATATTATTATTCATCATATAAATGTTTATTCTAAATCACTCAGAACTGTATCAACATATTATTCAAGTTACAAAAATGTATACATGTAAAAGTATCCAAATGATTCATTTTATTATTTTCATCAATATTTCTAATACTTATGGATAGAGTGCTCTTTGTAGACCAATTCGTTTTTAAATTCACAAAGCCGCGCCTTTTTTTCTGTAAGTAACATTTCATAAGGTAAATTTAAAGCACCATAAAGGCAAACAATCAGTTAGAAACACATGCAAATAAGATAATTAGAAAGATAAGGGACGGATAGATTGTCAGTTCAAATAATGACCATTATGAATGTATACATTTCTTATTCTAATCGTAATTTTATATGATTTCCCGTTCTAGGACAAGTGTAGGCAACTAAAATGTCCGTTTCCAAATGTCACAAAATCCGGGACTTGCACAACACCAGCTGTTTTACCTGTGAAACCAACTCTGACTCTCTCGTTTATGATACATATCCGGCAAATTGTGAATGCAATGGAATTATCCGACTGGGAAACCAAGTTTAAACTAGCGGTAGAAGACTTCATACGAATAACAAACTTGACACAATGCAAATATTTAACTTTCAAACAAACTTACTACATTTCCAAATTGAAAAGAGTCCTTGACTACATAGTTGTAGATGTAGACTTTGTCAGGACCAGTAGTTGTGGCACAAATATCTTACATGGTATCTTTTCTGGCGACACATTTTTTGCTGATTCTTTTTCTGGTGTTGAGAGTGAACCATTTCCTATATTTAATATGTCTGTCCAAAATTATACAATAATAGGTAACATTCCGTTTACATCAGATAATCCAAACGTTTCATTAGTTCCAGGAATATTGTTATACGATATAATATCGTACACTAAAACAGATCATTTGTATATCTTTGATCAATATTCTGGTTTCTATTTCACGCCGACAGAGGCTTTGCCGTGCCCATACATTTTTTTGCTTGAAACTGAATTCACTTCCATTTTATCGCAAAATGCTTTATGGACGGAAAATCAGCAAAATGGTGAAAGTCATCAGAGGTCAAATGCAACTGTTGGTTTTATATCTAGAGAATATTATATTAACAACGAGCCTCAAAAGTTTTATTTCTTATGCTATGAAACCTATATGTCGTTAAATTTGAAATTGCCTGCTACAAATAAAAGTTATCAGGTAAAAGGACTTGTCACCCTCATATTATCAATCCTCTCAATAATATGTTTAACAATATGCATTGTGACATATTCCATATCGGCAAACACACGGTCTTTACCCAGCAAAGTGTTTAGAATAGCTTTAAGCAATTTATTATTTGCCCAGGTTATATTTCAATTCGGGGTCGAGAGAACATCTCTACCTTTTCCTGTATGTGCTTTTATTGGAGCTATGGCACATTTTTTCTGGCTGTCTGCTGTTTTCTTTTTAAATGCTTTTTGCATTTTGGTTGCTGCAAAATTACAAACTGTAAAGGATGAGATCGAAACAAATAAATCCGGGTTGGTTAAGGCATTACTTTCTGTTTATGGCCTCTCTGCTTTGTTTGTTGGTGTAAATGTTACATATTCTAAGTTAGAAAGGTGCACAATCGGGTACGGACGTAGCCTCTGCTATATCGACGAAGCCTTAATGCGATTGCTGCTTTTCGCACTCCCTATATTCTGCACAGTTTTAGTCAACTGTTTTGTATATCTCTATATTATTTATACAATAACATCCACATCAACAATGGTAGGAAGGAAATCACGTGATGTGAAATACGTCACAGTCTATTTTAGGCTATTATTGCTTACTGGAATAGCATGGCTGTTTGGTTTTCTAAACGAATATTTTTCCTCTGATTTTCTAGATTATAGTTTTATTGTTCTGATTGGGGGACAAGGAATTTTCTTATTTATAGCATTTAATGGTGGGCGATTTCTGTCAAAACTACAAAAAATGTGTAAAATAAAGACCAACGGTATCAAGGAAAAGCATGATGACAAAAATATCAGAAATCAAGCAAGTAATGAAAACGAAAATTTGGATCGGATAACCATTGCTGATTCAGACCAAACGTAAAAGTCTGAAGAACGAAATTTGTCTCGAAAGTTTTTATATTGTAGTCTTATTGAAGCCCTGTTAGAATGGTATTGTCATTGCATTAAGGCATGTAAGGTTCTTGATTTTTCTTTTAAATTCAAATGTCCTGTTGTTTCAACAATGAATAAAAATTGACATTTAGATATAAGGATAATATAAATTTTCGTAGAATATTGCAAAACCATGTATGTATCAACCCTTTTTTTTTGCAACCAAAAAATATTGTTTTTATTTAGAATATATTTTTATTGCATCGCTGTTCATAAGTAACTTCGTCTGAAAAAAGTATTAAATTATAAGAGATAACACTCCATCATGACTTTAGTACTGAAGAATGAAACCTGCTTACACCGATGCTACATGGCGCAAGACGTGTTGCATTTGCAAAGTTTCTTTTGAAAATAGACTAAATTATCAAAAGCAATTGTTATACCACCTGTAGGTTGTTGTATTTGTTGTTTTATTTTGTGTGTTTTTGTTTGTATTTTTGTTTGGGGTGGGGTAAGTCCAGGGAGGGTGGTGAGTGCGGGGTTTGTTGTGTCTTATTTATTGTTGTTCTTTTCGATATGCAATTTACCATACTTTGCTCGTTCCTAATTTCAAAACTATTTTTCTAATGATGGCGCCAAATAAAGGAGTTTCGTACTTCGCATATATGGTGATTTGATTTTGTTCATAGCAAGGAAAAAGAAATAAAAAGTGATTTCATTTTTTCAACACCATTGTTTATTAACAGCTTTTGTAACAATATGCTTAATTTTTATTTGAATTTTCATTATGTTATATTGTTTTTTTGGTGTCAATAAAATCTGCTTGGCAAATATTGTGTATTTTTTATAGTATTAACTGAACACCTCAATACTATTATTATGAATAATTCATAAATTCAAATTTTATCGGCAAATCAGTATATACAAACATACATACACAAAAAATCAAGACAATCTTACATTTTTGCAATATATACAATACAAAATGACAAGTGACACATTTTAAGCCCGAACACGGTGGACGAGGGATTTAAGAAGTCCGAGTATTTCCACGGATGTTAATTTCACTCGACATGATCGCTAAATATAATTTGTGCCGTCTTTGATTAAAAGCCTAACCCTTTTGTTAATTATTTGCCGTTTGTAACCCCTTTTTCTAAATATATTTTTGTTAAGCACAATACTAGTTCTGTGTGTTTCACCCACGCAAATTTCTCTGCGTATTGATAGTTTGATCTGATTGCTTGTTGAATAAAATGTGCTTTAACAGATCTGGTCTCATTTTATTATGTCTTGTTAATTCGATTTAAATTGTTTCTTTAACTGTAATTGATTTACCTGTAATTTGTATTAGTTTATCTAGAGAAGAATTCGCATATCCTCACAACGGAGCAATCATAGAACATCGATGTTTTAGAGAGAATTATCTTTCTTTTTTTCTGTTGAAATAAGTGAATAATAAATCAAGTCGTGAGCCAAGAATGAAACAATATGCGAATTAGATTTGGCGGTAAGTAAAATGATTGAGTCTCATCTTGATTAGAATTCTTATCATTCTTTATTTTAAGTTGAAACATATGAATGTTTCCTTCAGTTGTTGATTTTTTCTCGTTCATTTTTTGGAAGATGATGGTAGGTATAAAATCTACCTTCCCGATTTAAAGGGAGAAGTCACCGAATGAAACCCCGACCCCAGTTATCCGGGCAGCTTTCCAAACGATAATAGTCTAGTTTTCCGATAATTTTTTAACGGTTTAGATGTTTACTTTTTGGGGAGACCCTATTAATGGCCAATGATCAGTCCCTAGAGCCTTAGAACGTTTTTTTTTCGAGGGTCCCTATTTCGAGTCCCGTTCAGGCTGCATATTTTTCTTATGTTGTGACATTACGCGCCCAACATAGGCCATGACAGCATATAGCTCCGAATTTAATTCAAATTGCTGTGTTAATCTAATAAATTCGAGGACGAATTCCATTTATCGGGGGAGTATATCACTCTTTAAACTGTTCACTTAAATTTTAAGCGTGAAAATGTATTATCGGCCGGATAGATCAATTGGTTAAGCCGCGGAACTGTATTCCGAGCGTTCCGATCTCATTTTTCTCATCCTAGTATTGTGACTTCAATACATTATACTATATCAATACAGCCCAAGTCTTTTCTAACACATAAAAAACAAGAATTGTCAAGTCAACCTGGAAAGTGAAACAGACTTGAAGTAAGCATAACGCCATACTTATTTACGATTACAAATGACGTTCCAAGGTATACCTTGTGTCCAACCATGCACATGTAATGATAGGCCTTGTAAATTTATATTTGTTTCAATATTTCAAATGTTTAAAGCATTCAAAAGAATTTAATTTTACCTTTCTTGTCGAATTTTTTTTGTTTGACTTCGTGCCGTAAATGTAGAATTATCTCCGCAATACAAGGACGTTTTTAAAGGCCCATGATGCCTCAAAAATGCTATAATTTCAATTTTCCAAAACCTTTTTATTTTTGATTCTTGTTACAGTTTCCAAAATACACATTTGCCATCTGTGTGAACTTTGTTTTTTTATGTCGCCTCTACGGAGTAGTGGCGACATATAGGGATCACTTCCCCGCCGTCTGTCTGTCTGTCCGTCCATCTGTCACTATATTTGTCCGGAATTATCCTCATAAACTACTAGGGCAATTTCATCCAAACTTTACAGGAATGATCAGTATCAAGGCTAGTTCAGCATTTTCCGGTTCAATGATTTTTGTCCGAGTTATGGCACTTTCATTATTTTTATTTTTAAAGTTTGTCCGGACTACTCCTCTTATACTACTAAAGCAATTTCAATAAAATTTTACATGATTGATCTGTAGCTCAAGTCCTAGCGCATGTTGCACGGGTTTGCCGGTTTAATGATTTTTGGCCAAGTTATGGCTCTTTAATAAAAACTTGTTTTTGTGTGTGTGTGTGTGTGTGTGTGTGTGTGTTGCCAGATACACCAAAGCTTGTTTGGACTAATTCTCAAAACTATTGGTGCAATTTCATCAAAACTTTACAGGAATGATCAGTACCAAGTTTAGTTGTGCATATCATCGCCTTATTATGGTTCAATGAATTTTGTCAGAGTGGCCCTTTAATTTTTTTTTTTAAAGATTGTCAGGACTACTTCTCATATACCACTTATGCAATTTCAATGAAATTTTACAGGATTGATTGGTAGGTCAAGCACTTGCGCATATTACACGGGTTTTCCGCTTGAATGATTTTAGCCTTGTAATGGCCCTTGAAATAAAAGAGTTTGTCGGACTACTCCTCATATACCATTTATGCAATCTCATTGAAACATTACAGTATTAATTGGTAGATCAAGCACTTGTGCATAATACACAAGTTTTTCGCTTGAATGATTTTTGACTGAGTTATTGCCCTAGCATAAAAAAGGTGTTTTTGTGTTGCCAGCTATACAGAAGTTTGTCTGGACTACTCCTCATATACCATTTATGCAATTTCATTGAAACTTTACAGTATTAATTGGTAGATCAAGTACTTGTGCATAATACACAAGTTTTTCGCTTGAATGATTTTTGACTGAGTTATATTGCCCTAGAATAAAAAAAGGTGTTTTTGTGTGGCCAGCTACACAGACGTTTGTCTAGACTACTCCTCAGAAACTGCTGGTGCAATTTCATGACAACTTTAGGGGAATGATCATTACCATGTCTTGTTGTACATCTCATCAACAATTTTTGGTTCATTGATTTTTGTCAGAGTTTTTACCCGTTCATGATTTTAAATATTACACAGGTTTTCAGGTGCCAAGTTATGGCTATCATAAGGCGACACATGTCATCACTGATGGCCCTTGCTTTGCACTAATGGCAATTGCTGTAATTATTGTAAATAGGTATTTTGTATGGAAGTCAAATACTACCACTGCACATTCAGCGCTACTCTCTTCAGCTATTAAACATCTTATATGCCCTAAATCGGCTTTTAAAACATTATTCAATACATTTTCGCCGATTTCTATTTTTTTAAGAGACGGAATTCTAAGGCATAATGTGTCCTAACTATACCTCGTTTATAAATAATACGTGTGTCAGAACAGTTGACGAAGAGAGAAACGTAATGTTTAGTCATAATTGGTGTACAGTATCAGTACAGCTTGACAACATTAAAGCAGTCTGCCTCCAGATGAACCAGACTTGTTCAGGAAAACCAAACTTGAGAAATTGAATTAAGATTTCAGAAATAGTAAAAATATTCAAGATTCAAGCAGTTATTTACATTCTACATGCCTGATTTTCAGTATTCATGATATTTCTACTGCGCGTCTATCGCAGGAAGGGCTACTTTTTGCATATTTTGACCTCTTTCTTTGTTTATTGCCGTTCGTAATTGGAAAAGAAAATACTCTCTTTGTTCACTTGACAATGTCTTACTTTTAAAAACTTTTAAATACTTAAAAATTTTGAAATTTAACATGAATCTGGAGGCATGCTGCTTTAAAACTAACATAGAATACTATTTCCATACTATCATATCGGAATCAGTCGAGTGATCACTTCAAAACTTAGTCGATGATTAACTTATTCATTCACGAACAAAGAGATGTAGAGAACTTCTGATGGCACGTGCAAAATATCGTTAAAACCTCATTATATCGTCATTTGAAGTGGTTCAGACTATTGTCTGAAAAGAAAAGACTCTCCCTTTCGTGATTTTTTGTCGTTCGGTAATTAAGACGTGCTAAAGAAGTATAGTTTTGTGATATGTATTGATCTGTTTTAATTTTGATCGATCCTTTGTCAAAATGCTGTTTTTTTTAATTATTTATTATTTTCTTATTTTATAAATATACGTATTTAAGTTTAAGAAGCTGACGCTGTATTGATTTTTATTTTAAAGGAATTTTTAACCCCAATTTTCTGAAAAAATTTTTTCCATTGATTGAAAAGCAATTTTTCTTATTTAAACCAGATATGCAAGGGTCAAAAAAATTATAAAATGAGAAGTGCTTTGGGTCAAATTCCCGGGCAAAGGAAAATTTGGGGGCCTTTATTTTTTGAAATTTTAAAAAATCTGGCCCAAAAAAGGATTTAGGCTAACACACTTTGTGTTAGTCAATACGTTGTAATTTTATAAAGAGACTTTGTAGCAATATTATAAAAAAATTTAATATAAAATTTAAGCATAGTATATCATTAACTTGAAAGTCTAAGAACTTATAATGATGTAGATATTTCGTTTCCAGACGCCTTAAGACCAATAAAAAATAGAGAGAGCGTAAGCGTTCAAATGAAGGTAACAGGTGCCGCTCAAAAAAACGAGTTTCGAATAGAGTAACATCCCCTGATACACATTGCAAATGGCGTAAGCGTCCAAAGGGAAGTAAACTGGTGTACTAAAAAAGAGTCGATTAGGATGACCTCTCCCTGATTACATTGCAAATGGCAT